TTTTTTTTTTTTTTTTTTTTTTGGTACCAGGGATTGAACTCAGGTCCTTGTGCTTGCGAGGAAGGCAGCCGAAGCACTGAGCTAAATCCCCAGCCCTTTACAGACTTTTATAAAGAAGAGTTAGGTATCTTAAAAGTATGAAAAGATTTCTAAAGCAGAATAAACAAAGCACTTACAGAAAATATTGATAAATGTACTGTTTTAAAATTAAGGCAATAATTTTGAGTGAAAAGACAAATCATAGAGTTTAAGAAGAGGATTGAAATATTCCAAATAAAGACAAATAGATTTATAAAAAGTATTCAGCCTGATTAATCTCCAGGAAAATGGAGATTAAAACAATGAAATTGTACTGCACCCTCACTGGCATGGCTGGTCTTACAAAGAGTGACTACAGCAAGTGGTCAGCAAGGGTGAAGGGCAATTGGAACATTCATATACTGCCCAGGAGGTTATTAAATAACCTCCCCCTTGGAAAATCAATTTTTCAGCTTGTTACAAGGTTGACCAGGCATTCAGTGTATGAACAGGCAACCTTACTCCTTGATATAAGAGAAATGGACATATAGGTCCACACAAAGACTTGTGTGCAAATATTTGTAGCATTTATTCGTGGCAGTGGAAGAGTGGAAAAAACTCCAGTTTGTATTAACAGGAAAGTAAATAAACAAATTATGTGTACCTTTTATATATTACAGTACTACTCAGTGATAAAAATGAATGGAATGCTGATATAAACCACACGAATGAATCTCACAGATAATATGTTAAAACAAAGTAGCTAGACACAAAAGAAGATTAACTGATTGTGCCAAGGTGATAATTTCTTTGGAGCTATTGTTACTCCAGTGCATACATTTATCTAAACTTCTCAAGTGTATGCATTACTTCTCCATTTTATTTCATGTAAATTATTTATCAATGAAGTTATTTTTAAATATATATATTATTTATAAAAGAAGGCTGGGTTAGCTGTCTCTGCCACTTTATAGAAACATTTATCAGTCCTCATTTTGTTTTTGTTTAAGTACTAGTGGCTAACAGGAAAATCTTGACAATGAAAAGACAAGATGGCAAGATTTAAAAGTGATCTTCAAAAACCTCTGTAAAACTTTAAAAAATCTAAATGACAAAGGAACATTGTCATTAGAGTTGAACTTAACATTTTTACATGTGCAAGAAAAGTGTTTTCTCCCTTGGGGGGAAGAAAAGAGAAGAGGATTAGTATGGATCTGAAAGGGTCTTTGGTCATCCTGCTGCGCAGAGTCTCCTGATAGAACTTCACGTTCTGCGTGGGTGACACCTGCTCCCCAAATTGGATGAACAAGAGCGGAGGACAGGAGCTGGCACCTGTGCAGATGATTTGCTCATACTGCCATGTCTCTGCAGGTCAATTTCTTCTTTCTGCTCAACATCGTCCGGGTGCTGGTGACCAAGATGAGGGAAACCCACGAGGCAGAGTCTTACATGTACCTGAAGGCTGTCAAGGCCACCATGGTCCTGGTGCCCCTGCTGGGAATCCAGTTCGTGGTCTTTCCCTGGAGGCCCTCCAACAAGGTCCTTGGAAAGGTCTACGATTACTTCATGCACTGTCTCATTCACTTCCAGGTGAGGAACCCCACAGTGTATTTATTCAGCTGGCTGATCTGTCTACCTCTAAGGCCTATGATCTTAAATGTTGTAATTTTCCCTCTTCAATTCGACAAGTCCAGCCCAAATTCTAAACAAAATCGAGTACTTAAAGGCATTTGTTTCTATTTCACATGCCTGCCTTCCCGTGACCTACAGGACTTTCAGCTGGCCCCATCCAGACAGGCTGTCACACATATAGTAACTGTGAGACTTTCCTTTCATAAATAAATGTGACTCTGGGGTAATGAGAGATAATGAATTTCCAGAGAGCCGTCCATCCTGCTCTGTCATCTGTTTGTTGGAAGAAAAAAAAAAAAAAAAGCAGTGAAATGTTTCTCTCCAGTCAATCTATTTATACTGATTACAAAATAAAATAATGCGAACAAAAATAACTTCATCTTCCCTTCTCTTTGTAGGGATTTTTTGTGGCGACCATCTACTGCTTCTGCAACCACGAGGTAAGCATGCATTTCATATGCTGTCTGCCAGGTTATACAAAGCCAGCATTTCGCAGCTTCCAAAGGGCCTCTGTACACATTCCACTTGATTGCTACAGTTCACTTCAAGGAGTTTCATGACTAACAGGACAGTGCAATTTCCATTATTCCAAGCTGAATCCTATCCCTAGGCTGTGGGATAAGTGCGGACAGTCCCCAGACAGCAGCTAAGGTCCAGTTTCCTGAGGTTGTATGCTGAATGGGTAGGTAATGCATCATCAGTAGAAGAAACTATTCTGTGTTCCGACAGAAAGAGAAGTCATGTCCCCACCAGGACAGAGCCAGCATCCCCCAGTTTTTCCCAGCCCCCTGCTCTCTTTTTCAGGCATTTAGTACTTACTATCAGTAAGTACTTACTATCAGTAAATACTAAATCTCTCATTTTTTTAGTTTTGTTCAGCTACAGAGAAAAGCAAGAAGCTTGAAGACAGCAAGAGAGATGAACTTAGCTCCTAAATTGAATCACTTCTACAAAAAGCAGAGCTAGACAAGCGACTTTATTGTTGTTGATTTCAGTTGTGGTTACTTTAGTTTTCTTATTGAGAACTTCTTGGCTTTAGCATAATCTGCAGCTCTTGTTTTCAATATAGTTTATCATATTTATAAAAGTAGTTTGGAAAGTCCACTTGTATGTTAGAAGTCTTTCAACAGAAGAAACTGAAACCTTATTCTGCAAAGGCTGTCACTGCATCAGGCAAGAGTTTCGTGTGGCATACCTAATGTCAAATCCTGGTGGATAAGGGTAATTCCACAATATGAGGCCATTACCATAAAATCTAGGTCTTTGCTGTGGTTTATATATATTTTCATGATCAATAATATGTAGATGTAAGTGAAACACTGCTTTATCATATGTGGTATTAGACAAAATGCTTCCTAAACCTCTTTCTGATACGCCATGCCCTCCATGTTATGAAACCAAATCAATTTACATCCACTGGATGAAGAGGAGGAGCAGGCAGAAGGGGAGAAACACGGTGGGTCACAGGGGTGCAAATGATCAAAATTCATTATGTACATATATCAATACACCGAACAATCTTCATTCGACTTTGGTAAAATGCACTACTAAAAACATGCAAGGACAAATACTGCATCCTAGGGAAAGTAGTTTTGTACTGGAAAAAAAAAGTGTGATGTATTCCTTAGTTAATATATTCAGCATAATCCAAGCAGAAGAAGAAAAAAACAGCAAAAAGCCTTTTCAGAGTAACTCGGTTTTCCATTTTGCATGTTTTTCTTCCAAGATGATATATTCCATGGCCACAACACAGCGCAGTCTTGGAGTTAAGAATTACAATTCCACCTCCTTTCACCTCTGATAAGCTCCAAGGGTCCTGAATGCAAACTTTGATCCAGTCATTTCTGCAGCCATATCAAAACAAGGCTCCTCTTTTCACTTTCAGGTCCAAACCACCCTGAAGCGCCAGTGGGGGCAGTTCAAAATCCAATGGAACCAGCGCTGGGGTCCCCGCCCCTCCAACCGCTCCGCTGCGGCTGCTCGAGCTGCAGCTGCTGCTGCTGCTGAGGCTGCTGGTGACAATATCCCAGTCTACATCTGCCACCAGGAGCCGAGGAATGATCCACCCCACCACCAGGGTGAGGAGGGCGCCGAGAGGATCTCTTTGAACGTCATCGAACAGGAGCCGTCTGCTTGAATGTGAAATATACAGTGTCGTGATCACTGAGCCTTCATTTCCTGGGGGAAAAATAGATCATGCATTTAAAGTGATTCCCATCCTCCCAGGAGCTGAGCATATCATTTGTGAAGATATGTTACGTGAATTTGTCCATAGTGATTCTGGAGAAAGTTATTCTTGGTACTATTGCTTTGGGAGACAGTCTAGGAATGGAGTCTCCCACTGCAACTTGTGAACTCCATCATTCATCCAAAACTGAGATGCGGATTTCTTAGTAAAGTAAGCAAAGTGTCCAAGAAAAATGCAATTAAAATGACCTAGTTCAGATACAGGGTGCTCCTTGTAAATCTTGAGCCATTTATACCTTTGAAAAATTAAAATCACTCTCAATATATTCCTTTTTAACTTGAGGTTTTGAATTGGACTATTTCTGTATTTGGCTATGGATCTGACTTTTAACTTTTTATTTCGATCAATTCTGATATTGCTCACATGTTTTATCATCCATACAGCTGCAGAGATTATATGACCTCCGCCTGACAAAATAGCTTTCAGATACAAAAGATGACTAATAAAGTGGGCAGGAAGACCTGAATTAGGCAGAAAGATTTGTAATACTTTGAAAGCCAAAGAAGTTTAGAAGCAATTTGGTGCAGCTGTGACACTCAGCTTGGTAGTGGATAATCCTGCCATAGGGCAGGCTGTAACTGCTGAGAAGAATTGGTCTCCACTTTGAACTGCTTTGGGCACTGACATTAACAAATTGGGAGGTCACAAAGAATCCATTGCTAAATTTTTCAAGAAACTGCCAAAAATGTAATTCTTAGTGGAGGAGAATACTCTTTAAAGAGAGTTTTGTACTATCCTAAAGTACAGGATTTATAAAGCAAATCACTCCAAGGTTTATAAAGTAGATTACCTCTTGCCCCTGGGTGCTATCTAGCAGTAAAAGATAAATTTGCTTAAGACTGGTAATTAAAAGACTCCATATAAGTCCACTAACTGCCTTCCACCCGGCTTCTGAACTGAACAAGATGTCAGCCTTTCCCAGGAAGAATCAGTAAGGCTAATTAGAAATTGGTTTACAGTTGACCTCTTGTTTGATGCTATTAGCAAAACAGGAGAGGAAAAATATAACTGCTACAAGTTAAACCACATATTAATTTATGCTAAAGTGAAAGTCTAGTTTCTCACTATAACTTGATTATATTTCCATATGTCTCTTTACATCCCAGTATAAGAGCTCCAGAAATCCCTGAATAAGCACAGTATTGTTACTGGCACCAGAAATTAATTTGTAAATTTGCAACAGTAATCAGTTACGTTATTTAATTTGTAGGTTAAATGAGGAGATGCATTGCAACTCTCTACATTTCAAAGGTCATCTGTGTCATTTTATGCTATCTTTCAGAAGTGATTTAGTTTGGGGAAGACAATAAGTTGATTTGTTCGGGTTATATATTTAATGCTCCGGGAGAAAACTATTTTTCTCAGAAAAAATGTTATTTTGGATACTAAAGTAGTTTTAAGTCTCCTTTACTGGATGTAAGGGAGGAATTGAAAAGATGGTATTTTTGCAATCGCAGTGTTATAGTAATGTTCCTATTTTTGTTTACAAATGTGGAAAACAGAGTATTTCGGGCAGCTGTAGTACGAATGTGATAATATATTGCTAAAGTATTTTGGATGTTATTGTGTTAAAATAGTGTGGGCTGAAGAAATCAAAACAGCTTCTCATAGTATTGCACATAGTGCCAAAATTATGTGAAATGCTTATGCTGTGTATATGTATAAATTAATACAGAGAATATTAAAAGAAAAAAGATGTATATTTGCATATTTTTTATAAAATATACTATTCATCTTTTCATTCATTCATCTTGTGTCCTCTTCATTCCATGCTTTTTATTTTATTTATTTTTTTTTTTTTTTGGTACTGGGGATCGAACTTGGGACCTTGCACTTGCAAGGCAGCACAACCAATGAGCTAAATCCCTGACCTCTCCATGCTTTCTTTTGCATTTTAGTCATGGGCTTCAAAAATCCCATCTTGTTTTTTACTGCAGGAGGGGGAAGAATAAAAAAAGTATAAGTTAGAAATGATGTGTAAGTTTAAGGAGCACAAAAAAGAAAGCCAGATCAAGAAAGTATATCCTTTTATTGTCCTCGATGTTTTTTGTTTTTTGTTTTGTTTTTTTTATTGAGGGACCAACCAGGCTTGATTTGTCTAGCAACATGTTAGAGTTGTTACAATCACTAGTTTTTAATATAGGTCAGGAGAAAGAGACTGAGACCAGATAAAAAGTGACAAATTAAATATAAAAAAAGGCCAGATTGGAAAGATTGTTAGATCTGGAACACATGAAATGGAAAAAGAAATAAGGATGAAATGAAAATAGTAATGAACTGATAAAAGGGGAATGGTAATAATTTGTAGGCACTTCCCAGTATAGGACAGCATACAAAATTGTTGTCTCTGGAGAACTTTTCAGCAAAGGTACATAAGGTCTTCATCTTTACCTAAATGTGTGTTCCAGAGAGCAATATAAATATTATTATCTTTGTGACCTTGAAGAACAAAGGTAATTTTCCATCATAGCATTAAATCTGATTCTTTAAGACAGTGAGTTACTTTAGAATAGCAGCTGCCCACCTGCTTTGATTCTCTACTACCAAGTGATCCAAAATATGCTCTTGGGCAAGAATAGATATGGTTTCCTTAAGATATAAAAGATGTTAGAAGAGCCACGACAAAAATGCTCATCATCATGGAATTGCACGCTTCTCAATCATTCCTTCATTCATTACACACTGATTGCGTTTGCACACCATCCATTCTGCTATTCAACTATTAACAGTAGTTATCATGGCAGAGTTGCTTTGCAGTGATAAAAGCCACTGCCTACTAAATGAAAACCATGACCACTGATACTGCATGGGTGGAAAACAAAAAGACATAGGTAGTTGGAGATGGTGGTTGAATGTAAGCTTTGTTCTTCATCATTGCTGAGCAAAAGAGCTCCAGCTATGAAAAGCACTCTGAGAAAAAGATCTCCACACACTGTCTCATCAGGGATTCATTTGCTTGACACATTACAGCTACTGATTATCTTGGGAGTTAATACTGGGGATTAAAATGAGAATGTTCATAAAATGTAGCAACCAGAAGCAGATTTAGAAAAACAATCAGGTAAGCTCAGAAGAAAATTCCATTTATTATTTTGAAAGTAAAAACCAGGAACATTACTCCTACCTCAAGTTCATATAAAATTGATTTTAATGAACTAAAAACTGGTGTGGAAAAGGAGAATATGAGAAATAATAACTGGAAACAGAATATTATGTGCTTCTGAGAGCAAAGGAAGTTAGACGCCACAATTGAAAATCAAGAACTATGTTTCTGGGGCTGGAGAATTAGCTCAGTGGTGCCGCCTCCTGCCTCAAAGGAACAGTTTCTGGTGACTTTTTTGTTCTTCTAGACATAAAACTAATTCTTTTTCCTATAATCTCTGAATCAATCCCAAGATAGTGAAGGAGAAAAAACACCAATTGAATTTATAACTAATTTATATCTGAAAGATGTTTTACTATAGATCATACAGTTAAGAATAAAATGAAGGAAAGAGTTTTATTGTAGGCTGCACTTTACTCTCTCCACTACTTTAGGACATCACCTTCAGCAATGTGTCTAACTGCTGGTTGCAGTGTTCAAGGGTTACTCAGGACAGCATAAAAGTCCTAAAGAAGTAGGAAATTCATAAAAACAAAGTCAATTGAGCAGCCACCTTGTGCATTTGTCTGTCTGTCTGTCTGTCTGTCTTTCTTTCTTTCTCTTTCTTTCTTTTCCACTTAGGTAATAACCCGGGGACGTTTCCTCATACTAATATTTCTACTCTGAGTGGTTTGTAAGTGTTCATGCTTACATTTTACTGGCAGAATAGCAACAGAAGGCTTGACCAAGGGTACTTCTATATGGTGTCTTAGTTTCCTTTTCATTGTTGATACAAAATACCCAACACCCAAACTTAAGAAAGAAAGGTTTATTTTATCTCACAGCTTGTTAAAGTTTCAGTCCATAGTCTCCAACCCTGGGCAGCTCAGCAGAGGGGCATGATGGAGGTGAACCAGTCCATGGCGCGGCAGGCAGGAGGTAGCAGCCTTCCTTCTGCTTTCCCTTTTTATTCCATTAAGGCTACGAACCTATTGGTTGGTTCCACCTACACCCAGGGTAGGTCTTCCCTCTTCAGTAAATTCATCATTAACACCCAAAACTGTGCTAAATCAATCAGTGGAATAATCCACTGATTGTCACTCCCACAATCCAGACACCTCCCAAAAGCCCCACCTATGAGTGCATGAGGCTTTGGGGGGACATCTAGATATAAACTATAACATAGGGTAACTAGGTCTGCACCCTGAGACTCACTGTCTTTATTATCCTTAAATTCACCAGAATGCACCAAATCGAGGCCGGAAATCTGAGAAATACAATTACTCAAAAGAGGGCTAGCAAACACTAGAAAGTATCCATCTGTCACAGATTGGAAACATTGATAAAGTATCGAAATAAACGTGGAAATATATGTTGGATGACTTAAATGGAGACATTAGCAATATATAAAGGAGCCATGTAAAAGAATCCAGCAAGAATACTGGCTATGTACAAGCAGTAGCTTAAATAACACTAAACTCAATAGTTGAAATAAATAGCATTTAGTTAATAATATGGTCTCAAATTTGAAATAAACTAATGAGGTAGAAAAACAGACTAGAAGTTTCTTCTAAGAGAAAATTATCAAGAAATAGAAAGTACACAATAAAAGCAAAGACATACAGACATGGAGGTATCAATATCTGGATGATAAGAATCTCAGAAGGGCACACAAAAAATGAAAATGTACAAAGAGACATTTTGCATCAATATGTTAGAAATCCTCCACAATTAAAGATAAAAGACCACAAATACAAGTAATTCAAAGATTTCCAAATAAATGCATCAAACCAAGATTCTGTTAACATTGACAAGATTGGGTTAATAAGAGATCAACATGACCGGAGAGCAAGTTAAAATTTTTCTTTTAGGGAGCAGATAGAGATTTGAATAATTAAAAAAGCAATATGGGTAAATGAGTACAAATCTTAAGGTGTGTGAAATGAGTTATTATAAAGGTATTAACAGTCACCATTTAGAGTCTTGTTTGGAAAAAGTTTAAAGCCTATAGGCAACAAGAGATACACATAAAACAAAAGACTAAACAGTGATGGGAGAAATGATACTCAGGGATTATGAATCAAAGGAAATTAGGAGTCCTATCTTAATATCTGCCTAGCTATAATTAAATAAAAAATCATACAGGACAGTGTATTAGGCAGCTTCAACAAACTACTTCTCACGGAGTAATTTATAAACAGAAATGTATGGCTCAAAGTCCAAGATCAAGATGTCAGCAGATTCAGTGTCTAACGATGGCCTTTTCTTCAAAGATGATGCCTTCTATGTATTTCCAGAGAGTAGAAGGAAGCAGTGGGACTCCCCTCGGGCCTCTGATGGGGACACCAATATCCTTTATGAGATAGGAGCCTCATGATGTAATTACTTCCCTAGGACCCACCTCTGGATACTGTTCCATGGGGATTCATGAATTTGGGGGGGACACAGACTACATCAGAAAACAAAAGAAAATTATATTCTACCAAAATAATAATTTAACAAAAGATTAAAACCAGTCATATACACATTAAAATACAGTTTCAAAATAGTTCAAGCAACACTGAAAGAGAACGAGAGGGATTCAACACGGCGGAACAGAGAAGCCACGTTAGAGCTTCCCTGAGGAAATCAGTTAAAAACACGAGTAATTGGAAGAAAGGGAAGGACCCACATCCGGATGCCAAACCCAATCTGAAATAAGAGGCTTGTAGATGAAACAACAGCGGCACACCGCTTTGTGAAATGGCACAGCAGTCCGTAGGGCAGCCCGCGCACTCCTTGCGCGCATGGAGCAGGAACTGCCGTCCGGGAGTTCCCACAAATCTGACGGACCGCAGGAGCACAGCAAACGCAAGCCGCACAGGAAATCTTGGGATACGAGGCCCCTCATCTCTCCGGCCTTCCTCCAGGGGCTAGTGAAGCCTGGCAGCAAATTTCAACGGCACAAACGGGAGCCAGTGGCAGGGAAGCCTCTCCGTCCCTGTCCCTGTCAGGCCACCAGCTCGCGGTTGTTGCCCTCCTCGTCCTCCTCATCGTTGCTGTTAAGTTGTCGCTGTGCGCTGTGCTCGTCCTTGTTAGGCGCCCTAACAGCCAACTGGGAATTCTGCTGACAGCAAAGTTGTGGACCACAGTGGTGACGGTGGTGACTGGAAGAGGACCTCTCTTGCTGCTCTCAGGGGCATGAGAGAAAGCGGGACAGGATTTAAGCAGCCTCGGGGCCTAGGTAGGGCAATGAGCGGGAAGTCAGCACTCTCTCTGCCCTGCTCCCAGCAGCACAAGAGAGGAGAGGTAGGACTCAAGCAGTGTCTGTGAGTCACCAACAGCACAGAGGACTGGAACAGAGGAAGCTGTGTACGGACTGGGAGGATCCATCCGTGTGGGACTGGCAGCAGCCCCTGGCTGTCTCTAAGGAGCCACAGCAACTGGAAGAGCGCAGCACAGACACCCGCGGTAACAAGACAGGGGTGGGCCACCGAGGAACATCCTGAAAGCTGAGCTCTGGGCCCAGCCCCCACGTCCGGAGGCCAAGACCAGCCCCGCACCCAGCACACTCCTGCTGCAGACTTGGCATTGTTATGTAACA